TCGACCTGGAATAACGTCTAGAAACGTAAAAATTGGAATACACCGAATTATAATATTGCCTATGATTCTGTATGGGTGTGAAACTTGGTCTCTGACTTCTAAGGAGCAACATAGACTGAGGGTATTTGAGAACAGGGTGTTGAGGATAATATTTGGATCGAAGAGAGATGAAGTGACAGGAGGTTGGAGAAAACTGTATAATGAGGAGCTTCATAAATTGTACTCTTCTACAAGTATAATTAGAATGATCAAGTCAAGGAGGATGAGATGGGCAGGGTACGTAGCACGAATGTGGGAGGAAGAGGAGGAGAAGAAGATTACATATAGGATTTTGGTGAGAAAACCAGAAGGAAAGAGACCACGACGTAGATTGGAGGATAATATTAAAATTGATCTTAGAGTGGTAGGATGTGGTGGTGTGGACTGGACTGATCTGGCTCAGAATAGGGAACAGTAGAGGGCTCTTGTGAACACGGTAATGAACATTCTGGTTCCATAAAATGTTGGTAATATTTTGAGCAGCTGCAAAACTGGTGGCTTCTCAAGAAGGGCTCATCTCCGTGGAGTTAATTAGTTAGGTTGACTAGAAATAGTATAAAATTCCGACCAGTCCAGACGTAGTCAACGAATTCACATACTCATTTTTTTTTCCTTGGCACTACAGCCCCAGTGGGCCTAGGCCTACCTCCATGAACTTCTCCGTTCACTTCGGTTTTTCTAGATCTTAGACATTTGGTAGGACTCCTTGGGCGGGTGATCAGCTCGTCGCAAGGCCTCTACCTGTACACAAACACAGAAAAACGCACAAAAACACCCATGCTCTGAGTGGGATTCGAACCCACGATCCCGGCTTCCGAGCGAACGAAGACAGTACACGCCTTCGACCGCTCGGCTACCGTGACCGGCACATATTCATTTTACTTGTATGAAATAATTTCTCAACCATGCGCACTGCAGTTATCTCTACTCCGTCCCCATTAAACCATCCGGCTGCGTGACTCGAATTCGGTGGAAGTGACCCCTTTTCGCCCGTTTTTAGCGCACAATCTGATAAGCGGACTACAGTAGCTATTCTTTCATGCTCTCTAAAATACGTGTTCCCATTATCTTAACTAACACAAATTCATATTACATGCCTCTTATATAAAACTTAATTTCGTGTTTTCTTTCTCATAAATATAAGTCAATGTTGTTGTGTAATGGTTATTGGGCATTATTCCTCTTCGAAGATTCTCCGTTACAATTTCGATCACAAAAAGTCCTGATGGTTTTCTGCTTTCGCTCTCGCCCATAACCTGATAGATTAATTTTAATGTTATTCTCCAGTTAATACTTTGGTATATTTATGTTCTAATGGATTCCAGCTCACCCTGTGTATTTGATGTTTATTGTTTCCATTTTAGAAAGAAATTCTGCATCATTTTAAAGAACTCGAAGGTTCATTGTAATGGTCTTAATAGCCCTCCTCTGGTCTGTATCCTGAGCCTCTCATGCAATTTCTTTAAAATTTATATTAATATCCTCCCATGTACGCCTAGACTTTCCATTTCTTTCCTTCAGTTTTTCTTATCAAAATTTTAATCACACTTTCTTTTCTCCATTCGTGATGCATTCGCCACTCATATTATTCTCCTTCATTTGATCATCTTTTTCCGTATTCCGTACTGAGGGGGTGGGTTTCCCCATGCAATTAGACCGGTTACTGGTCCATTGTGCGTCCCCCTTTAATTTCTACTGTCTCCATACCCTACCGGTACTGGTGCTTACTATCAGTCCCTTTCTGCCAGCGAGGTTCCAACCTCTTACTGGCAGTGGTATCTAATAATTAGTCCCTTTCTGTCAGCGAGGTCGTCCCTCCTCTGGCAGGGGTTCCTAGTCCCTTTCTGCCAGCAAGGTTTCTACCCTCTACTTGGCAGTGGTATCTAATACTTTAGTCCCTTTCTGTCAGAGAGGTCCCCCCTCCTCTGACAGTGGTATCTGATACTTCCCCCATCTACCGGAGGAATTGGAAACTAGTTGGGCGGGAAACTTGGCCTAATTTTGCTCACAGGTCTCCTAGAGACATGAGGTTCTTTTACGTGCCGTAAATCTACGACACGGGACCCACGGCTTAAAGTCCCTCCCGGAGGACTTGTTCCCTGAATTTTTCCGCCCTTAAAAATTCCACGACCTCCGCCGGGTTTTTGAACCCGCGTACCTTGAGTCATGAGGTGGGAACGTTACCCCTAGATTACGGAGGCCGCTCGTTTGATCACCTTAATAATATTTGGCTACATTTCTCGTTGTACCATATTCTCCTGACTCTTCCTTGCGTACAGATACTCTCTTTACTGCCTTGCTCTCAAACATTTACAGTCTATGTTCTTCTCTTAATGTGACATACCAAATTTTAAATTCGTAAAAAACAACGGGTAAGACTAATTTGTATGTATAAGTTTCAATCTACGTTTTTAAATAGCAGACAAGAAGACAAAATATTCCGAATAGAACCGTAAAGAATATTCCTTACAGATAATTTTTCCATGCATATTTCAATGCTTCCATTTTGTCTTACACAGACAGGTGTATAAAGTGTCAACACACATACCGTCGCACATGCGCTCTGCACTGAGCGTTTCAGCTGAATTTCTACAACAAAATTCTCAATATCCATTTCACTTCTTAGTATCAATGTTTATAAGAACAGCAAAGCACAAAAGTAATGACAATAAAACTGTATCGTCTGTTCTGGATCTGAGGTTTCATGGCCAAGACTGAAGATGTCTATCGTATAGCTTATGTTGAGAATCTTTTGACTCAGCGCCACGCGAGGCACGCCCCAGCCAGTCTGCAAACAGAGGCTGGGGGGGTGGTTGGGTGACAGAAACTGAGGACCGATAGGGGAGTTTTTTTGTGTGGCAGTGTGACTCCCCCTCGTTGGTGTCTCCACCTTATCGTGGTGAGGGGGTTTGAGTATGCCAAGGACCCTGAGAGCTATACCAGCGGTAGCGTAGCTACTGGCAGGGCCTCCCTTGCTGGACAGTTCAAAGGGTAGGCATCAGACGAAGAGAGACAGCAAAAACTGATGCCAGAAGCAGCGTCATCAGCAGCGACTTGAAGCACAGAGCAAATGATGCTCGAGATGGTTCAAGTTCGTATAGCAACAGGCATGACCAGAGTGGTTTGAAAGGCTGTTGTACTGCGATGTGGAAAGCAAATGGAAAAACTACCACATTATCACTTTTCCTGGATAGTCTCTTTAGAAAAAAACAGAGATACCATGTATGCGAGATGTTTCCTCTTGAGACAAACAAACTGGAGGGGCAGATAGAAGTGCCCAAAAGACGAGGAAGAAGACCAAAGAAGATATTTTATTTGAAGGAGAAAGCTTGAGATCGCATTAAGTGGAGGAACTGTTTTGGAAGAGACTGTGGACCTGTCGTCTGACAGATTACTGATGAATGAATGAAGTGTGTGACTAGCAATGTACTGTGAGGGCAGAGAGAAGAAAGTTTTTGTGTTCACAGTGTGCGCCGACAGAAGATAGTGGTTGAACTAGAGGGAGAGACAGACGGTTCTACATTCAGCTGAGATAGTAATAAGGTGACGTCGCAAGCAAACCCCCTCGAGGTCTTGTTCACGACAGGATATAAAGTCTTGCGCTTTTGTGAAAGTGAACCGATATTTCTGAAAACGCTAATCGCCTACGTCTTCAGCAGCGAAGAATAAGCCTGGCAATAAACCAGCATGAAACAGACGGCAATCAGTGCTCTTGCTTGACTTTCCTTTCCACCATGAAGATGGAGGCGATATGCATTCTGAAATGTCAGTTGGCTTTGACTGAAGTACACTGAGATATCTCTAAAGACAACTCTAGGTCTAACTAATTCCATGGAGTTGAGTCCTTCTTGAGAAGCCATTAGTTGCTCAGATACTCAAAAATTTACTCACATTTTATGGAACCTGAAAGTTCACAAGAACCCTCTACTGCTCCCTATCCAGAGCCATATAAATCCAGTCCATACCACCTCATCTTATCCCTGTGCTTAACTACGTACTTAAGCGCTATGCCATGAAGGAGTATGGGGGAGTGGATGTATAAGTCCACATTTTATTGAACCTCGGCACTAGATGGAAGAGAGTGGTCAGGTTCACGTCCTTGCTGCTTTATCCATGGAGAAAGATCCCTCGGTACCCATTAGATAGGAGGTTGGGTAGGCCCCAGGGCCTGAGTGGATGACGTGAAGAAAAGAAATTTCTTGACCCTACCAGGACTCGAAATCCAACCCCTTCCTCGTCCAGTAGGGTGAAGAATTTTCACTTCTCCACATCGTCCAAAACGGCCCTGGGGTTCACCCGACCTCCTATCCAAAGGGTACCGGGGGCTCTTTCCCCGGGAATAAAGCGGCCTGGGCGTGAAGCTGACTACTCACCTCCAACTAGTGCAGAGGTCAAGAAAATCTGGATCTATAAATCCACTCCCTCATACGTCTTCATGGCATAGTGCTTAATTAGTCAAGCAGAGGGACAAATTTATCTTTTACCACCCCATCTTAGCATTATCATTATCATCATGGCAAAATAACCTTTTAATATGTATAGCCTGCCTTAGAAGATTCTGCCATATTCTGTCCAGTTGTCACTTCTTTAGATTTCACAACAATAATTTTTTACGAAACAAGATAATGAGCCTTGTGTCCAACTCCCAACCTGGAGGACTAGGTCTCTGTATTTATGTCCTCTAATAAAAAGGTAGCCCAATTATGCTTCCAGGCACCTGGTTCCCTTTTCATCACCTTCTATGACGTGCAGGGTTACAGTGGATATGTGCTAATCTGCATCCACAGGGGTCATCCTAGGATCACCTATGTTTATTTACATGTTTTCAAATGATGTTCTTCGTTTCATGACAGAACACGATTCGTATCATCCACGACAGACCAGGCACCCCAGGAAAACGAGGAGGTGAGGCAGTCGTATGACTACCCGAAACTGACAGCCGAGCTGCAAGCTGCAGCCTCCATGATGAGACGCAGACGCAGCCCAAACCTGCCACCTATCTACAGTAGGACCAGCCCTGCGTGTCAGGTACTTCTATTGGGTTAGGAGTGAGATGCATGTCACAGTAACCACAAGGAAATGAAATGACTTGTCATCATGTTTGTTGTTAACTGATGAAAAAATTACTATCATAACGTTTGTTTTAATTAACTAAAGCTTTTCTCAAGTAGTATAATGTGAATGTAAAAGAACACTAATATCCAAATCCACCATTAAACACTGTCATGAGTCAGTTCCAGTTAGAACCTACTTTTATAATAATTATGTATCACTGTATGTAGCAGTTGAATGAAAAGCACTTCTGCCCTATATTCAAGAGCCCCAAGTTCCAATCTCGGGCCAGACCAACTCTTCTGACTAGGGTTTCATGGTTTTGCTTAATACTTCTGTGTTGGAATGGTTCCAGGATAGTACCTCAGATTATGCCATAACTGCTTCCTTTCACATCCTTTTAATTTCACTGTTATTAGTCATCCATCATTCAATGCAATATAATCTGGGCTATTGGTAGCATTGTTAAAGAAACTGTAAAGGAATAAATAATTAAATTTAGAAGATAGATCTTAATGTCCTCCTACCATGTCCTTCTTGATCTTTCATCTGACTAGGTTTCTGGAGGTCTCCCCTTTGAATATGTGTGTATATTTGTTCCCTCACCATTTATCTAGAAGTTCAGTTCATTTTGGTTTTAAAATGGGTAACAAGGTTGCGTCCTGAGATTCGGCAAACAGGGCTGGATTTAAGAGGGAGCAAACAGGGCAGCATCCCTGGGACCTCTGCAAAAAAAGAAGTGGTATCCACAGACTTTATTGGAATATGTACATATCTAATATCATACTATTTAGTTGGTATTCTTAGTTATCATAAGAAATAAAAACAATAACAAAAATTAATAATTGTCATAACCTAAATTTGTTGTTACTCATGGGGTCTCCATGTTCTGAATGACCCAGGCCCTCCAAAGCTGTAAATCTGGCCCTGTCTGAGAGAATAACAAATGTTATTTGGCAGTATTCAAGTTTGTACCAGTGCAATAGGATGCTAAAATATAATATTAATGTTATCTGACAGGATGAAGAGTTGGCAAGAGGAAGTCACCCATATGAAAATAATCCTGAACCAGAAGATGAGGGAGAAGGGGAGACTTCAGGCTATGCAAGTGACTCTGGTGGTATGTCTAATGAACGCAACACTGACCACTGGAACCAGCATCGTCAGGAGCAGTTTCAGAGACATGACAACTGGATGAGCGATAATCAAATCCACGATAAGGCTTCTGGAAGATTCAGCAAACAGACACCATGGATCCCCTCAAATAGGTATTGTTATGAAGAATATTACCTTCTGGGATATAACACTGTGTAGTTGCAGTACAAGCTCACTGACATTTCAGAGAAATGCATCACCTGCATCTCGCAGTAAACCAAGCAATCAATCAGTAAGAAGCAGACAGAATGTTTTGGCAGAAAATTGAGGCAGTACCTCCCTGAAAAATGCTGGTGAACTTTTACCAGGCTGCAAGACGTCACATTCCAGAAGATGGAAATCTTTATAGTCATCACTGCGAAACCGTCAAATCCAACATAGGAAATATTATATTTAAAACCAAAGCAAGTAAGGTAAAATTGTCCCTGTTCATGATTAATTTAGCACCACTCATTGAAGATGTATGGATGAAGAAGTTTGGAAAGCGACAAACACAGTATTCACTTTTACACATAAATTCAGAATTTGACTGCAGAGCTGAAGAAAACCAGGAAGAACTCAGTGAAGATTTAATTCAAGTATTACATTCTGAGTTGATTGTTCACCGTTTTTCATCATTTGAAGCTATGTCATTGGATCCATTTTATGATCCACATTGCTTAGCTCTAAACAAGGATTGTTGGCTTCGCCATAACTCAAGCGGTTAGTCGCTGGCTTCCCACCGCGGCGGCCCTGGTTCGATCCCGAGTCTGGTCAAGTGGGATTTGTGGTGGACAAAGTGGCGCTGGGGCAGGCTTTCTCCAAGTAGTTCAGTTTCCCCTGCCAATCTTCATTCCACCAATTGCTCCACAATCACCCTCGCCTATCATCTGGGGCTGGTACAATAGGCCAGAAGTGGCTGCAGAACAAGGGACTTAGTCCCAACCCACTAGCAATAATAGCTCTAAACAATATACTAAATTATATTTTATGCATACAATGTTGTTGTTATTATTATTCATAAATATTTTGTGATATTCAGAGATTAAAATTTAACAAATGCTATCACAAATCTCTTTTGGCCTAGATATTGTAACGTGTTTGCGTTACTGAAGACGCCGTAGAGGTGGTTAATTGGTTTATTTAACAACCTACAAACAACGACTACAATTAATTATCACAATATTACGGGTTTCCACACTTTACAAACCCTACAACAAAATCTCTTAACACAATCTTCACTTGTCTTCACGTACTAATAACGCGGGAGCTATACAAGTCTCCCTGAATTACACACTCCAGATATAACTGGTTATCACTGGTTATCGCACACGCGTCTGTAGCTCGTAACTTGCGAACTGAGAACTCGTTGGTAACGCACTGACTGGCTGACTGACTGTGAATAGCCTTCGCTGCTCCTCATGTAGCCTCGATCGGACCATACAGAAAACGGCCACGTAATAAGCACCCTTGTTGCCTGGCGCTGTGTTGCTAGTAACGCTAGCGGTAGTAACCGCTGTTACCACCATCGTCTCTCGCAATCCTGTTGCGTCACCGTTACGTTACCGTGCGGAGGAGGGGGAGGGGAGCGCTGACTCACCCGCCGCGTCACTGCTGGTGGGGGGAGTTCTCCTTTGCGCAACATGTCACAATATACTTGTTGTGCAAAACTTTTGTTTGGCACAGAGCAAATTGTTGCAATTATGTCCAGGAGGTATGGAACACCAGACTCTGTTGTCTCAACACCTCCACATCGGATGTGGTCATGTGGTGCTAGTGATGAAGTGAACAGATTGCAGTGGGGAGATCGAGGAGTTGGTGTTGGACACTTCTGGGAACCAGCTTTTCATGAACCAGATTCCAGACTGCCACAGGTAACATTACCTTCATTGTCACTATTTAACTTTAATTATGAACTCTTTGATCCCTGGTTATTTTAAACATAGAGTGTGTTGGTAAATAGTCAGTTTATACAAATATATTTTTATTTTACCTACAAGTATAAACATTTTGGAAATCACAGATAAATGTATGTTTTGCATACTTTTCAACATTCACGTATGGGGTGAATTTTATGAAGGAAATTACATTACCTGTTTTCAAAAATGTGTTAACATAAGTAACCCGTATGTGTGAATTAAATCTATGTAGCAAGCTGAGAAATGCAGCGAGGAGCGAGTGCCCACAATGTGCATGTGCATGATATTTGGTAGAAATATTAGGCCTATGAAGTGAGGAGAATATATGGACCTAAGAGAGAGAGGAAGTAGCTTCTAATTGCAGAGCCTGAGGATCAATCCCAGATGACTTTATGTGAGATCCATAGTGGTAAAAATAGTGCTGGAAGAGCTTCTTTTCAGAGTTTCCTCTTTTTCGGGTTTCACTTGCTAATCATCATTCCACCATTGCTCTATGCTTGTCACTAACTGTCTGTCCCTTGAAGTCTTCAATATCCCTGACAGACAGCACATTATCATATGTTTGGGGCTTCATTTCTGACAAAGCTCTTGTCTGGTTACAGACTAGGAAAGTTAGCAGGAGGAAATAACTAGAGGAGGGAAAATATTTCATAAAGAGGAGCTTCACAATTCATTCTACTAACCAAATATTACTAGTGGGGTGGGATTAAGTCCCTTGTACTGCGGCCACTTCTGGCCTATTGTACCAGCCCCAGATGATAGGTGAGGGTGATTGTGGAGCAATTAGTGGAATGAAGATTGGCAGGGGAAACCAAAGTACCCGGAGAAAACCTGCCCCAGCGCCACTTTGTCCACCACAAATCCCACTTGACCAGACTTGGGATCAAACCTGGGTCACCGTGGTGGGAAGCAGCGACTAACCGCTTGAGCTATGTTGCGGCCTTGAAAGACCTAAGTATATAAGGATATATAGTGGGGGTGGAGGGTTGGAGTCCAACTGGGTCCACTCAGCACGGCGGCCACTGATTGACCTATTGTAGCCTACCCCGGGTGTTTACGATGATGGAGAATTTGGTGGAATGAAGATTGGCAGGGGAAACCAAAGTCCCCGGAGAAAACCTGCCCCAGCGCCACTTTGTCCACCACAAATCCCACTTGACCAGAACCGGGATCGAACCAGGGCCACCACAGTGGGAAGCTAGCAACTAACTGCTTGAGCTATGATGCAGCCTAAGGATGTATAACATTAAAATGGATCTTAAATAAAAAATGTTTGAATATGTGTGCTATATTTACCTGGTCAGGACAGGGAAATTGGCAAGATCTTTTAAATGTGGTTTTCGTAAAATATGGGGATACCCTGACTAGCTGAGCAGTTAATAACTTCTAAAGAATGACTCTGCTTCATGGATTAACTTGTTAGATAATTGATTGGTTGGTCGATTAGTCAGTTAGATAGTCTGTTTGTTAGTCAGTTTTTATTGGTTTGTTAACCCATTGGTCAAGTACCGCACACCCCCGGTTATCTAGCACACATGGGGAATGAGGTTTGCTGGTTACAAGAATCTGCCAGTTGCATAGGAGAACTCCTACAGAGAATCAAAACAACACACCTGTGCTTTGGTTCTTATGTAGGAGTATCCTTAGATGAAATAATGAACATGTGAACATGGCAACTTTGATTTGGAAGTACTATATAAAAGAGTTTTAGATTTTCTTTGAAATTTTTGATGATTGCATGGGAATTCCAGTTGCTTGGATACTGGATATCTACAAGTTTGCTGTGCCTAATGAGGTGACTCTCATTCTTTGTTGTTTTAGGTGCAGACTAGTGGCAGAGGCACTCCTGGTTGGTTGGAAAGAGGCCTCAACAAGCTCAGTAACTCTAATTCTTCCACGAGCTCATCCACTCAAGTATTAGTGATCAACCATGGCAGTCCAGACCAGAGTAACCTCAGCAGAGAACTTGCTGATAGTTGTGATACCATCAGTACTCAGTCACAAAGCGAGTGTAACAGGTGAGATAAATTTGTAAAAGTTTTTGACAATATTTCATTCATTATATTTTAACATTGGCCATTGTCTGAGTTACATTCACTATGTATAATATTTATGTAGATGCCTCTACTCAGTTCTTTAGGTGCTTGGTTGTTATTATACTCGCATCACAAGTAGAACAGAAATTAGCATACACGTTTGCCACTAAACTTAAGAATGAAGTGAAAAAAAGAACTGATTGATTTATCTCTGTGCCTTTGTCTCCCTTATTATTCTCCCATTGATAAGTACACATGACAAAGGAGAATTCAATATAATTTCTTTGTCAATTTATATTTACCATAATACCTAATCTATTCTTCATATGGGTGTGTGCTGAATTTTTCTAGAAAGTCCAGAAAATTAAGTACCACGGTTATGCAATTTGAAGTTTTCGCATTTTTCCGTATATTTCATGTGTTTCTTTGTATTTATGAGAGAAGCATAAAATACTTTAGATATACAGAAAAAAGTTCAAATTTCGACAGTGCAAACTATATAAATTGTCTCCAAATATCAGTTTATGCTTTACTACAAAGAGACAAAAGATTATAGCATACAAACAAACTGACAAAAGTCTTTAATATTTAATAAGATATTTTTAAAATGATGCCCTATAAATTTTAAATCATTGACCCAACAGATGCTGCAGAATGTAGAAAAATGAATGTTTCCAGCCTTTCTTAATGCACTGAAACATACTGTGTAAAGGGCATTTAACTGATCTGCGAGCATCCATATACACTGAATTGACATAATGTGCAAAAGGGTTAAATTTGTAAAAGTGACTATAAATGTCAAAAAGAATATAATTCTCTACCTGTTATTAAAAAAAATATGAGGGAAAATCTTATACTTGCCACAAGTAGCCCCATGGAGAATCTACTTGAAAAATAGGAGATCCAGGTGTATTTCTAGGCTAGATGGTAATTCTATTAGCCACTGACAAATCAGTATTTTCTTTTATAAATACTTTGATCATTCTCATTGGCAGGACATTCATACGAGGACAGAATGCACCATTAGAGCCAGAGGTATTGCTGGAAAGGGAACGAAAGAGACGAAAAGCTCTCGAACACCAGAATGCCATTCGTTTACAGGTAACATTATAATATGCTTAAATAATTTCTCACATCTCTTTTCTTTTTTGTGGCTTATTTTATGATGCTGTAAGTAGCTGGACAACAAAGTGATGAATGGTAGGATGATGAGTGAATGAAGAATTGGAGAGAATTTGAAAGGGAGTGGTCATAGCATGACTGAGATACTTTATTGGCATTCGTCCTTAGTGATAGAGGTAGTTCATGCAGTAGGTTGCTTCATATTTGACCCACAGACCATGTTGGTCTGAAGCAAGAAAGAAAGAATTGTAATGGTTTAAGGTTCTATGAAAAAGAAATTGAATGGCATTCATCACCGAACATATCTTAATGGATTGGCAACTAGTGTACCACAACAGCCAGCCTCTCTTTTGAACCAAATGATAGAATGTAGTAAAATTTCATATGGCCATCACAGCATTAGGGCTCACTTTTTTGTGATACTGTTTCATTTACTAACATCAGTGATCTTGACAATGACACTTAGGACTTCTGTATTAAGAGCAACACTTGTGTTGAACAACATAAAGGTAAAAAGGTAAAGCTATCCATGTAACAGGCAGTGGAGGCCATAGGGTTGTGAGATGTCAAGCCTCTGACATTTTCTACATAATAGGCTCACAGATGATTTTGAGGTTGTAAACCTTATGTGTCAGACACCATTTACCCCTCAGGAAGGTTCCTGGTACTCATTTCTGTTAGAGGCTGAGTCAACCCCAGGGCCATAGTGTGGCTGGAAGGATTAGCTCAATTGAGAAATCCAGTTACCTCATTAGGAGTCAAACCTGTGACATTTTGATTTGTAGCTTAGTTTGTTACATAACATAAGATCCTGAAATTCTGAATGTTGGGAAAATTTCAATAAATATGCAGCTTTCAACAAGTCATAATCTTGCAGAATGCAAATCAGAGCATCAGAACATCATCTGTGTTAGTTTTTATTTTGATAATAAAAGCTGCTCAGTCATCACATATAGTAAGAAGGTACATTATAAACATGCCTACAAGTTCCGTATGAAATATTTTTCATGTGCTGAAAATTAGAAACAGAGTGATGATGGTGGTGGTGGTGGTGATGCAGAACTCTCAGGTCGCATCAAATACATACATACAAAATATGTTCACAGTTAGAGGAGAGAGAACGAAAGAGGAAGGAAGAAAAAGAAAGACGAATAAAGGAGGAAAGACAAGAAGAAGAAAGAATAAAACATGAACGAGAAATAGAGAGAAAAAGGATTGAAGAAGAACAAAGACGCCTGAAAGAAAGAGAGGTAATAAAATCATACTAGTTCAGTTAGAGCATGTACTTGTATTACTTTTAATACTATATAACATCATCAGTGGCAGTAGTAATAGTAGTAGTAGTAATTACAAGGGAAAAGCTTGTTTCTCCCTTGTGCATTTCCTTCCCAAAGTTTCTCAGGCTGAAATGCTTTTGCATATACAGAAAACCCCTTAACAGAATTTTGAAAATAGAGGATTAATGGGATTATTTAGCATGATGAGAATTAATAAAAACAGACATTCATCTTAACGACTGGATTAAAATGTCTGAATAAGTTAGATGAGACAAAATATCATTTTCAAACATACTCATATATATAAAAACTGTCATCAAGCCTGTGTGTATGTAAGTAGAGGGTTGATGTGAAGTAACAGTATACAGATAAACGCTTTCAACGTCAGTCACATTTCTTTATTCTCATATTAAATTTCTTCACATTTCTAAAAAATGATCCATCATGTTTAAAATACATATATGACACAAATTAAGCATCTTGTTTAGGTCTAAAATTTATATTTGAAATTCAAGTATCTTGCAAATCACTTGTAAGTAAGTTTCAAGCTTCATTTTATACAAACAAATATTTGACATTTGAATATGTGTGCGTTGTTTGTGTCGTTGAAGACAGAAATAAAAATGTTTCAACTTTCTATTTTAGGACAAAGAGGTCCGCAAAGCTGCAGCAATGCGAAAGGCCCTTGAGTATGCTGAAAAGAAAGCAAGAGAAGATAAGAGTCTGGCAAGCCGCAAGCATATGGTTGAATCTGTTAAATCCAGTGTCATTACTGACAAGAGTCATAATAAAAGTTGGTTTGATTCTAATTCAGCTGAAAGTTCTGCAACTGACAATACAACTTTAACAACACAAAACTCAACTGAAATTAAAGATTCTGTTACAGATCTGTGCAGTACAACAGTTTCTAGTAATAGTTCTAATAGTGTTCCAACAGAGCATGAAGAACTTCTGAAAATAAATGATGGAACTCAGACTGGAATAGAAACACATAACGATGCTTTGCTGATAGCTGCAGAGACAGTTACCGTGCCTGCAGATGGTCTAGCTGTAGTGTTAGGGAATGCAGCAGAGGGACGTCCTCATGAAATATTACCAACTCCAGGTGGAGGTGTCCAATTTGCACTCCTGATGTCCCCTTCACTACAGCAACCTCTGATGCTGGACAAAAGACTGCTCACACCCAGCAAGTATCGACCAATAGGACATGAGCGGGGAACTCAGACTGACTTAGAGGTTATGAAAGGAAGCAGAAGTAGACGGGGCAAAGATAAAGCTGACAATCAAATTACAAGAAAGGATAGGAAGAAGTAAGAATATATATTCTATAAACACATATATTTGCAAAAGTTCTAAGCAAAATAACAAAATGTTGTATCTAATATTACTGTATTCTTTAACATCTGCCTGCAATGCATACACATGAACTTATATTGTCATGATTGCAATAATATAAAACTAGAAAAAAGTTCCTTCATTATATATATATAATACTGCAGCTGAAACATTGCAACAGCTAAATTCTGGTTCATTTTACATCCTGCTTGTTCACAGTAACTTGATATACTTTAAGTTCCTCAGGGACCATTCATCATTTCTTATTACTTTACGTTTTCTCCAAAGCTGTTTTTGTACTCTTGGCATTTTAATTCATGCTCATAAGTTCTGAGACATCTTAGGTCTTGCAGGTATGTTTCTGAACTCCAAAGACCATGTTTTTAGGTCTCTCAACTAACGTTTTTAATTCTGTCCAAAAGCTGATAGATTAAAATTTGCTTTAGATCTGCAAGTCTCGAAAGACCACATCGAGGGTGCAAACTGCCACTACGGTGCCGCTCACAATCACAGCCAACACAACCCCGAATGAGGCTGGAGGATCGTCCCAAGTGGGGTGTTAACAGACCAGGAACACAGTACATTAAACAAAGTGAAAAGGACCCTTACTATCAGCGTCGCTTGAAGCAAAGACTCCTTAGGGCAGCCATGATGGGTGGCGGGGATACTGGAACAGAAAGTGACACCGGTTCATGTCGTAGGAACTGTCACACCAGAGGCAGCAGTGATGAGAACAGCAGGTGAGAACCAGTGAGTGTAATCTTAATTACATTCATTCTTTTCTGTCACAACCTATACTATGTATATAAAAATAGATGTCCCTTCAGATGTGACTAATTTATTGTGAATACACATATTACCTTACATGTTTCAGCCTGTCTTGGCCATCATCAGAGGTTTCATCAGTATTAGTTGGAAACACTGTACATATTCTCAATATATACAGGATATGTCTATACAAGGATCTTAAATCTCAAAATTATATTCAAAGATATAATTTTTAGTTAATTACATTGAGATTTATTACTAGTGGTTGAATTAAACACATTTCAGTTTTGAGGGGCAGTGTATTTGTATTTGCAATATAATGTAGGAATAGAAGTGTAATGGGTTAAGAGGGTGTGTCCGTATAAGGCATGGCTGCGTTAAAAAGAATGTTCTTATAATTCTCCTATATATTTTTTCATCTAACAATTTGTTGCATTGCTAAAAAGAGTAAGTAAAGTAAAGGTATCCCTGTAACAGGCCATGGAGGCCCATAGGGTTGTGAGATGTTGTGGTTCCCTAGGATTATAAATATAAAAGAAAACTTTACTTTTACATAAGGTAGATGGGACAATTAACACCAGGTGGATAATAACACCACCAGTATTAATTGCAAGTAGCTGTGAAAATATTGTTGAGGGTTCATCAGCATTTAGTTCTTGTGAGCTCTGTATCACATCCACCAACTACAACTGTCACCTTGAAACCATCAAGGTCTGTGTCAGTAAGCTGTCAGTAAGCTGCAAGAACTCAAATAGTTATCATGTGTCAGTTTGTATGCCTGAATATTTGCATGGTCACAAGTTAAGAGTCTCTATGTTATAAAAATCAACTGATATTAAACGTTTTACATGACTGGATGTCATGTGTATGGTTCTTTCTGGAGGCAATATTAGAAGGCTCACCCCCCCCCCCGCTGTTTCTTTAACTTTATTCTGCAACGAATGAGAACATTGCAATTCATATAGTAATGCCACTGTCAATTAAGCTAATAATGTCACTCGTTTTATTTTGTGTTTTATCAAGTTTTAGGTTAAAATAAGTGAACACTATATTTTCATTAACATGATTAACTTCTCTAGCACAACATAAGCTTATATGTTAATATCTTTAAGTTACACTACTTTCTATCACGCTTTCCATCACATATGTATCATTCTTCCAGTGGCTTTTGTATTTTAGAATTTTGGTCTGAAAATCTGATAGTATTTTTTTAAATGATTGTGAAAACATTCAAAGGTGTCAGGTCACAATGATCAACAATATCTTCAAAATTCACCATGTCTGCTGTAAATTCTGGGAAGTCCCTTTAAGTTGCATCCCAGATATGTGGTATTCCTACTAGGACACTTCATGACTGAGTACATCGAAAGGGATCTCCTCTGAAGAAGCTTGAACGAAATTCAGTCTTGCCTGCAGATGCCAAAAAACAACTCCATCAAAGAATCATCCATTAAAGAAAAATTGGTTTTGGATTTACACTAATTCACATTCACAGGTTTGCTGTTCAAATATGCAAGGAACACAGCATACAGAATCTGTGGAAAGACAGAATGTTGGGAAAGGGCTATTTTACTGTTTGTGTAGGAACCCAGGCATAACTCTGAGGAAAGCAAAAAATCTCAACTATGACCAACTGATGATATTTAGCATAGAAGCTCTACATAATTTCTTAAAACTTTTGTGGAAAATAATGGATGCTATGAAGTTGCACAAATTTCCTCATTTAATATACAATGTGAATGAGACAGGACTTAAACTGACTTACAATTCTGGTAATCAGAAGCTGTTGGCTGTAAAAGGCAGTAAAAGATTCAGAGTGCTACTCATGGAGAGATGGAGAGAAACCATGACAATAGCGATTTGCTGCAAACCATTTGCATGAGTGCAGATGGAAGCTATCGGATTCCTCCAATGGTTCTGTGTAAGGGAAAGTACAGAAAGGTTTAAGTTTAAGCAATTGAGTTGCTGGTACTTATATTCCTTATATAAATTTTTATTTTTATAAGATTTATTTGAGTAGAATGACTTCAGATATGGCTGGTGTTGATACCCTGCCTGTATGTTAATAATGTTCCCTTTAAGAATAATAGTGATGACATTAGAAACCACTGTACCCCTCTGAAATCATGCAGTTTGCAGCTTCTTAAGAAATTTAAGAGTTGGTTATTTCTGAAATATAGTTCGAGATTAACTGAACTGGTGGCTTCATTTGCCTCCTTTACCATATACAAACAAAGTTACATTCACAATAATGACATTAAAGGAGCAAATACTTAATACATTAGATTTGTAATTATTTCATGTGATCTGAGACTCCTCGTGGTTTTAAATGCCACAAACCTCACTACAGTTATTTATATAACTTAAATCATTTATGGTGTATAAGGACCCTGAGAGCTATACCAGCGGTTGCGTAGCTACTGGCAGGGCCTCCCTTGCTGGACAGGTCAAAGGGTAGGCATCAGACAAAGAGAGACACCAAAAACCAAAAACTGATGCCGGAAGCAGCGTCATCAGCAGCGACTTGAAGCACAGAGCAAATGATGCTCGAGATGGTTCAAGTTCGTATAGCAACAGGCGTGACCAGAATGGTTTGAACGGCTGTTGTACTGCGATGCAAATGGAAAAACTGCCAAATTATCACTTTCCTGGATAGTCTCTTTCCAAAAACAGAGACACCATGTATGCTAACCAGAAGACGAGGAAAAAGACGTAAGAAGATGCTGGATGACCTTGGGGACAGAAGAGGATATTCTCATTTGAAAGAGAAAGCTCTAGATCGCATTAAGTGGAGGAACTGTTTTGGAAGAGACTGTGGACCTGTCGTCTGACAGATTACTCATGAATGAATGAAATCGTTTATCACCAACCTTTAACATTGATATTTCTTTATATATTTTTCTTACAGATCTCCATCACCACAGCAAAGTTCATATCATTTCAATAATGGAACCAACAAAAGGAATGTTTATCATCCTAATAGGACAAGAAACCTGGACAGAAACACAAATAAATTCAATGAAGAAGAGGATAAGTTACATGTGCCATCTGTGAAGAATGAACAATTAGAAAGCAAAATTGTGTTGTTCAGAAACAGAAGTTATAATGTCGATACTCCCAGCAAACCAGTGCAAGTGGATATTTCATCTCCAATTATAGAAAATATAATGAACAGAGACAGTACCCAACAGAAAACTTCAAACCATATAATGCCATCAAACATATTACATAACTTCTCAGTTAAAGGTAAGGGTGAACTCTCAGTTAGCAATAAATATTATTTAAAAAGAGATAAGGAAGGGAGTTTGGAGCAAAATTATTAAAATATTAAAATAGTAACATATTTCTGCTTTCGTGGAAGAAATTCTAGCCAGAAACATGCTTATTTTATTAATATCCATGAATAGCTGTTGCCATAAGATCTCTAGCAATGATAGAAATTATTTGAGTGACTATTTGCTGCACATTCAGTTGCACACTTATAGATATAGAACAGTGTTATATAAGTTGGACAGTGTATTAGACCATATTCTGTGCGCAATATTTAATCCAACAAAACAACTTGACTAAATTTGTTTTAAAGTGGGAATCTTTCTAATTCAATCAGCCTGAATTCAGGTTTTTGGGCACATCTTCCACAGGCATGTACAGGAATTCAGTCACACCCATAACGGCAAAAGAATATGAAACTGAGTGAAAGAAATTTCAAGAAATCAAAAGTATATGATTTCCTTCACTTCCTTTATGTGAACTGCTAAAATTATTTCCCGTAAGGTATGTAGACTTTCAATCTTGGGAATATGCATAAGTAAACAAACATTTTGCAAAGTCTGACAGTTCAATATGTAATTGAACAGTCATTGTAATTCATTTTGTAGTTTTATTAAATACTTTTGTGAAGTGTTTTGTTTATCAGAGCAAAGGTAATAAATTGATAGAAAAAAAAAGATCAACACTGTGTACACTAAAGAAACAGAAAGATGCCAGTAGTTGCTGTAGGTCTTTTGCATTCCAAGTTTGTTCTGGATTGCCATGCCATTAAAAGGAATTTTCATGTTCTTAGTGGCATGTGAGACACTGACAGAAATAACTACAGCTTTGGCAAGAAGGAATCTTGGTGCTGCACAATGTCAGCATTCTCATCCTGTCACTGTGTAGATCCCTTCAGTTACTTAAAGAAAACAGTAACATGTATTTGGGGTAAGTTTATGACCCCTTGTTTATTTATTTATATAGCTCAAAAAAACAAAAGTTGGCAACAATTGCAACCACTGTATTTTGTGGAATTTTTGAAGGCCTCTGAATTTAAAAGTAAACACAGTTTACAAAGTGCAATTTCAACAATGGAAGAAATTAAGTGATGTAACAGAATTAGTCTTCACTGCACTGGAAACACCAAATAACCAGTTTATTTGTGCAATGGTTTTTACAAGCCCAATATTGATAAGATTCTTACTTGATGTCAGTTTTCTCTCTGCTGTTCTCAAGCACACATGATGCTTTCCTTCTTTTCCATATCAGTTACTGAATGGGGGTCAAATCTGATTTTGAATTATTTTAAAAATGCATTATTCATGAAGAGCAGTAAATTAACACAGAATCAGTTTACTTCTCATGAAAATATCAGATGCTAAGAACCAAAGATAAATACTAAAATTAATCAGAATGGAGCTGTGGGCTACAAAATGGATCCCAAAGATAATTCAAGGGATATTGGAAAGCCTACAACTCCCGTACTCATAAAATTTTACCTGAGGTGCTTTTATTAACTTGTGGTAGGTGAAAGCAATTCTGAGAGTTCATTAGTGGTGGAGGTACAGCATGCTGTGATGACAGAACCTAAGGTCAAAGGTTTTCAATACTTTTTTCAGCAATGATACACTAAATGGCAGAAATATATAGTAATGAAAATGCAATAGTTCAAATAAATATGGTGCATAACACTGTTTTATGTTAGAAAAATAAATACAAATCAAAGTTCAAACCCTTTATGATCTGGTTCCTTGTGAACACAAAGGCATGTGTGGAAACTTCAAACATTTACTTTTCAGTTCTGTTTTTAAAGAAAATTATTGCATTGAAAATGTTAACAAGCCACATCATGGCCTTGTTAACTTCCTGCAGGTTCCAGGCGTTTGTTGAACAGACAGAATGAGATACCTATCACCGTAAGCAGCAGTACAAAGGAACAATGGTCAAGAGCAAAGGATATACTGTCACAACTCTCTTCTCTTCGTCAGGTAAGGTATCATTTAGATTAAGTCGGTGTTAACTGAGGTTTAACAACTTTGTTTTCTATATAGTGTCATAATTAATATCAGACCTAAGTAAACAGATGATGCAACCTACTTATATTTTCTTAAATTTCAATTTAAACCATCTTTCGTGGCTGACATAATTAGTGTATCTTGCAAGCACAATACCAAATAATGCATAAACCAAGCTGATTTCCTTTATCTTCTACATACTTGATGGCTGCTATTATATAACATTATATAGCAGATGATGCAGTAGAAAATGCTTAACGTTTTTTTTAAATGTATAATGTGGTATTTGGATGTATTAATGTTTTGCAAGGCTTATTACTGTATCCAAAATCAAAATACAAATAATATTAGTATATACATATGTAATCATAGCAGTCTAGAATCTGTCTCTGTCTTGATTTGTTTCAAGCCTAAGAAAAGATGAAAACCTTATTAAGATAATATTCTACTAATATCTCATACAAAAATTACTGTATAACATGAAATGTTAGAAAATAACTCATATTTTTTTCCACACTGTGCAATTCTTTTAGCAGAATACTTGAAAACAAACACAACTTTCTTTCAGATGGTATTCAACGCCATTACATCATACTGACACCTTTTTCCATTAAATACAAGCATAGAAAGTAAACAAAAAATCTGGTGCTAAAATGTGGGAATGACAATTTGAAACAAAGACAAGCTTCTTATTTCAATATAAATGTATTGATTTATTTTGTATCAAAATAATTGCACCATCTGTCACACCTGAGAAGCAGCACCTGTCTTTCTAGAAAAGGAGTAAAAGCCATATAAAATACCACTTAGCATTAATAATGTAAAGGTATAAACACAACAGAAAAAATACTGTCGTGTGTTTTGAGTTCGACCCTTGTTGGTAACATGTGTAAGTCCAGTCCCACTACTGACACCAAATTGTCACGTGTTGGGTGTATAACATGACAAATAACTTCATGCCTTATTTGATGTAGCGAATTTTATTCCACACTCGCTCATACAATCACACAATTTACAAGCTCAACATTACTGCCATCGGCAGTATCACAAATACTAGACTGCATACTCTTCCTTGGCCAATCCGTAACTAACTAGTAACTAACTTGAATAGTCTTTGCTGCTCCTTATTTAGCTCCATTACAGACAACACAGAAAACGGTTATGTAATAGGCACCACTGTTGTCTGACGCCGTATTTACCGATAGCCTAGCAACGCTGTCGAGAGTTGTTTACTGCTGAGTAGCAACGGTGGCATCCCATGTTACGTCACCGCGGGGAGAGGCAGGGTGTTGACTGGCTTATTACTGTAGCAACGGCAACCCTCCAAAAGTGTTACATCACCGCTGGGGAGGCAGGGGGTGTCCTCCATAGCGCAACATGTCACACTATGTATTTTCTCTTCTTCTGTGGGTCTCTATGTCTTCATACTGATTAATGAACTACATCATTTGCTTAAAAACATACCATATTGATAAAAGAAATATGATCTAAAATAGAGAATGATCTTTTATGCTCTAATGACTTGTAGTCTGGTAGACGTCTACTGAGGTTTCAGAAGAACACATTGTGTCCATCTTTAGAATCAGAGAGTCAGCCAAGCAAGAAGCCAGCAATAAGCAGGCAGTTTACAGAGTGCTGGAGATGATATATTCCTCAGAAATATCAGTGGACTTTTACCACACTACACTGCATTACAATCCAGAAATTGTGCTCTTTGCAGTCTCCATGGTGAGAACCTCAAATCCAACAAGACCTAAAATAAACTAATATAATACTACCCCTTGTTTCAGGGACTTCTAATTAAACAGCAAGAGTGGGAATTAACTAGGAGCCACACACCACAGTCAGAATCTTCATGGAATTCTTGAGACAGACTACTGCCTAGCAAATTTCACATTATGTAATATATTTTCAGGAGATTCGGTTCTGAAAGCACGTCACTAGTGAGAAAAATGAGCTTGAATTGTGAATGAGGGGAAATCGGCTTACTAATATTCCAAACAAAATTATTATGGCCTGTTTCTTTTATATATTCCAGCTATAAACATCGATGATCATAGACCTATATTGTAATTATTTTAAATTTATTTCATTACAGAGCTTTTTGTATGATATTCCTCCTTCAAAATGTCTTCAGCTAATGAGAAAGAGTATAGTGATTTGATTTTGAAAATTAAAATATGAGTTAAGATGATTGGCTAATAAATTTAATGTAGCATCCCCTGCTATTTAGAAAAATATGGTCATCCAATTTCCCCTCATAAAGTGTCAGAATGAAGAAGAAAAAAATGTTTACCCACAGATATAGCCTGTATATTCTGTGGCATTCTGGCACTGCAGATGTTATTTATAGGTATAGCAGCTTCTGTTGGTGTGTTGGTTGGATGAAGAGTTCGTTGTTAGAGAAACATATGCTTAAGAACATATCATTTTGAAAAATAAAATATTTTATTGCAAAATTTATATTAATTTTCATCAAGGGACTTAGGTGAAAATAATCATAAAATCACTTGTTATGTTTTATGGTAACAATACACATCAGCTACAACCCACAAACTTATACTTCTGATGTTGTGAGCTACATCCAATTGACGTATAGTTTCTTGTGTAAATATTAAGTCCTCAGGCTCTTTTGTCAAAATACATACTCACATAATCACAGACGAAATATGTATATGTGTTATATTACCATTACTCATAGAGGGACCAAACCCATTGCTATGAAGAGTACTACTGGAATTTTTTCAAAAAGGTAAGAATATAAATTCTAATAAGAATATTCTCATATGCCACAAAGATTGAAGTGCTTTAGATTATCAAATGTGAAAGGGAAGAAAGGTTTATTTATGAAAAATACTTTGAAATGTACTGTCAGATATTTTCCGCTCCTTTCTCTGACTCCTTTCCTGTTGCCTGTAAAACTACAGTGAGCCAATAATAAAATATTCTACACTGTTCTGTTCCATTTTGTTTCCATTGTTCTTTTCTATTCTGTTCATAATACCTGTACGAAAATAAAGATGTTTGAAACCTTATCTAAAGAATATAATCCACGAAATTTGTTTCAGAAAAGATTATAATTTCCCAAACACCCTTACTTTTTTTTCATTATAACATTTATATCAAATTGATGATGATTCAATGCAGTTGTCATACCTGAATGAAGAATCCCATTCACATGCAATATTATCATCTTCTGAAAAAATGATAAAATGCTGGAAAGACGTAATTAATACAATTCAAATGTTTATGTAGTACAGATGTGCAAGGATATTAAATTGAAGCATGTTTTGAGACTTCTGTAACAACACTGATTCACTTCATGTTTTAGATTAGAAAATTAATGTTGTTTTGGAAGAAAGTGCCAAAATTTAAGATCCCTACATGGTATCACCTTCAGTTTCACTGACTATATTTGCACTATTGTGCCCTACCAGACCTTTATAGTATGCTATATTTCAGTGTATGTCCATCTATATCAATCCATGTCAAATTTCCTCACTTTCAACATTTAGGCTGAGAAAGGTTCCTTCAAAATATGAAAAGACTTTTCCAAAATAACACAATGTTACATCTCAGAAGACTTAACCACGTGTTAAACCTATGAAAATAATTAATAACAAGGAGGTGAACACAGTTAGCCACATTGTTCTTTTATATGCTGTGTACTACTAGCTTCATTCAGGAATGGCCCTAGAGACAGGTATGGACCCATACTTTGGATGGATAAATAGTGAAAATAAGGTTGGTAGGCAGTATGTAATATCTGCAACAGGAGTGTGGCAACTTTTGCAATGATATGACATATTTTTTCATACTACTAGCTAAAATTTGCAGCTCTGTACGTGTGATGTAATTCAGTGAAAATCTGCTCATATTTCTCGCACCCATATTTGTCTCTACCAGAAACTGATTTAACATGCATTTAATTACCCTACCTCACTAGGATCTGCCCTGAGAGCACAAGGAAGCAAATATGTATTGACAAGTATGGAAACTGTATACTATGAGAAGAAACTTTGATAGGTTTGTTTCAATACAGCGGCAAATACATGAGCAATGGGTCACCTATTACATAAGCTGTGTAAATAAGATTTACAATTTTGTTTAATAATTATAATTATGTAAACACTGGTGTACAATATAATGTATTGATATTTTGCTATCAATATACTTGAAAATAAATGTACTCTATTTGTGTCTTAGTTTACTACTACAATAACTTATTACATTATCTTTGTGTAAAAATTTGTTTCAATATTTTATTGTTCTGCATTTTAATCTGAACAAAATAACAAAACAAACTTATTCTAAAACTATGTTCTTTTCCATTACATCAGGTGACGCATATTTTTGTTGTATATTTTACAGTGCTACCAGCACCTCACACTACCTAGTGTTTAATGGTAGGTTGATTGGTGACTATTAAATTGAAACGGATCTGAAAGGAAGCAGTCATAGTCTAATCAAGAAACTATACCACATTTGTCTGGTGGGACTGAATGAAACCATCTAGCTAATCATTAAAATTTGTTAAAACTCAGACAAATAACAGCATGGCAGATTTACTGAATTTTGGTTCTAATTCTTGAACAATTAGGTATAGATATCAACACATTACATGTAACTTTAAAATTAAATATAATATTTTTAACTAGGAAGCACATATATCCAGAAAGTTTCACATTTTAAACCATATGGATACTAAACTAAATTCATATTTATTTACTCTTTCCAGATGGCATACTGTTCCAAAGAAGTGAAACAATTAGATGAAAGAGCCTTTGGATGATTACTAGACATTTAAATAAAAAAGACACAAACAAAAGGATTGTTCTTATGGAAAGATCTCTATAAAATCAACATCAAACATTGCTGTAGATCAGTGTGGAAGATAGAATGTGGTAAATTACAGTTGTCTTTATAAAAGTTCATAAAGTGGTTATTAAAATGGATGAGTAAAGAAAAGACTGTTTACCTGTGATACTGACAATAATGGCTTAGTTACAAGCAAATTTGCAAAGGAATAAAAGAAGACTGAAGATACGACTTTAAGAGCTTTGCAATATGTGACGACAACATGGCGACAATTAAACTGGATGATTTGCTTGGGAAGAAGAAGGAGGCTCCACAAGTTCTTGATTTATCGCATAGCGTTATTCAGTCAAAGGAAGAGTTTCACAGGCTACTTGACAAAGTTCCTGAGTATAAGATAAGGCCAGAAAAGGTGAGTTTAAATTTGAAAGATTGTGTTTTGAGTAACAGATAATTTGTTTATTAGTATATATGTACATATGTATTCATTGAATTCCTTGAAAGTCACTTTCAGTGGCAAAACACCCGAGGTCTGCCACCAAAATGGAATTCTGCTCTGTGAGAGTCGGATCAAAGTTTCTCTGTTTCATGACCATTTTGGCCCTTATAAAGATTAAAATATTCTGTTTAATATTTTAAAATTGTCAGCAGCACATTAATTTATAATGATACTAATTTCAGAAATGCCTCCTTCTGGCTATCCTGACCTTTATCGTGATCTTTTCCTCAGTCTATCTGTACCAGTTTTCCTAAACTTCTGGAATCAGACACAAGCAGAAAGATGGCAAATTGTTCAAGAACAGATACAAGGCTCATACATTTTCTTCAATTAAGTATTCAATGAAATGATTTCTATGACTTACTTTAAAAAGAACTGGACCACATTTTGTAATAATTTATTTCATTTTCTGAAACCAAAAATTGAGTTACAGATAGATGCTGATATGAACAAGAAATGAGATACAATGAAAATGTAGAGACAGATAATATAACAGAGTCATTCCTTCCTCTGTGACATTTGGATCCCCTGTCACCATTCTCATTTGTAGATAAAGGAGAGATCATTAGATACAGAGAAGGGCTGCAAATAGGCCTATACTGAATAAGCAACCATGGCTAGATAATGAAGGACACCCCTCCAGCTTTAATCTTGGATATAAGGTTAAGATGTAAGCAAAATAATATAGCACAGATTCACATAGAAGGCTTTGGAACTGAGTTGGTTCAGGATGAAATGTAATGGTGGGTTCCTGTGCTATCTGTAATCAAACTTTGGACTTCATAGCAACTGGGAATTTCTTGATTAACTACTAGTGATTAAGTTTCTTCAAGTGATAATGCTTGTGCCTTCCAATTGGGAAGTGCCCAGTTAGAATATTGACAGGGGCACCAACTGCCATGACTGAGGTTTTCATTGTTTTTCTGTCTTACCAGAAAAATGCCAGGATAGTAACTACTCACTCCATGATCGCTTTCTTCCACATCCTTTCTAACTCATTATTAACTAATGACTGTGGTTGCGGTGCAAGGACCAAGAAGGCCCACCCCTTATACATTCAACTAACCATTTTACCATTTGACGCTATCTAGCAGGCATAGCCAGACTCTGTCTCATGAGCTGCATTTGACTCTTTCACACCATTAGTGCAGCTCATGGGGAAAATATCGGTCAATAAATTTTTGCAAATGGATTAAATATCAGAATTCTTCTGTATTAATAGCATGCACCTAAATGCCATCCAATCCACACCTCTTTGCAGCTCCCAATCCCCTGAAAATTATCATATGCTTCTCTGACATTCAATTCGAGTCGCCAACTTTGGTATATGGTCTGAGATACTGATGTTGAATAAAACAATACAAATAAATAAAGTAAAATAAAATTCACCAATTACTGGGACTTCTGGGTGGATTGTGTAGCTGGGAGTTAATTATTTTCTACCTAGTCCAAGGTATTTTATACATACTTCATACTTGTCCTCATCTGTAACCCAAGGCATCTAATGAAAACAAGCATGGCAAGGAAAACTTCAAATATTCATACATCAAAAACGTGCACCTAAGCGCTTATCCTTGTATTCATGCTGTTCATCATGCAACACAATGTCATACTGCTATTGTGGAGTCATGATATCCTAAGCAGAGTGTTATCATGAAGTTCTTTGTGTCAGGTACGACAAGATGATATGAAAATACGTGACAAGGACTTCAGTTTTCATCCATCAAAGCGAGAAAGCAAGCAACAGGACTATACTTATGCTAACCCAGTCCCACCTGACATGCGTTCTGTAGCACTTGAAGACCTAAATCCAGTAGCAATTGACTGGAAAATGCTTACGTCAATCCGCCCCAAATCCAAGCTGGAAGAAGAAATGTTTTCTAGGTCAGTAAATTTAAAATCTGTAGGGTTTACATAGAAATTTAATGTAATCGAGAAATAAAGATCTCTACGTTTCAATGTTTACAAAAACAGTGTGGTTGGAACTGGAATTAGACAAGATACCTCTTTTCATATCTTCTTCAGAGCCAATGAAACAGCAGAGGTGAAACAAGTAGATGCATGATTTTTGGGGCAGCAGATGGTACAATCCTCTTCTTTATTTTTGTTAAATGAAGATCACTTCTGCAGCTTTTTTTTTATATCCTTTAATGCTTCATTTTTTTCCCCCCATTGACAAAACATTGCTTTGTAGGGCCATCAGTGTTCCCTTTGGTTCACTAATAGCCCTGGTCTCATTTCACATACCGCTTTTCCCCGGTCAGCTCCCTTTTCTACTCTGAAGATAGAAGCAGTTTCTTCCTCCAAACTTTGATACCTACCTACAGAGGTTCATGACGTCACATCCCAGAAAACCCTAATGTGATGTTATACATTATTCATTGTCTGAAGCATATTTTAAATACACATTTGAGAAATTGGCTCTACTCCCACCTTCAGATGATTGGTTGTCATTATACTGGCAGGTGGTATTTATTTCTCTCCATTTTCAAATCAATTTCCATGCTTGGGACTGAATTTGACATCCTTTTAATATTAGCATTGTAGGACAAACACTGGACCACTGGGTTGGTCAACCATTGCCATAAACCTGTAAAGAATTACTGCACTATGTAGTTGAACCATATCAGAACATAAGAGAAATCAATCAGAATATTTGTCACTACAGGCTGGTGACAATGGGAAAGCTCCATTTGTGTACCGCAGCACGAGAGAAAAGAGCAAGAAATGCGTCAAGTCCCATTCATCGGAACAAGAACCGAGCAGGAATTATTGAAACACGAGCAGCAGTGTGCAAAGAATGTGGAGAAGAATTCTGCACTGGAGTCAGTTGCAGTGATTTTCTGTATGAATCTTACCTGCGCACTGATATTGGAACTCTACATATAGATCCATCTGGGAATGAAGGCCCAAGTGGGAGAGGCTCTTCACCCAACAGAGGAAGAACAAAGTCTGGAAAGAAGAAAAAGAAAAGGAAGCAAAAACAATCAAGAAGCGCAAAGAGGAAAAAGAAAGGGAAGTCAAAACGTGGAAAGAAAAGTGCTGAAAAGGAAAAGGAGTGATAACAAATCAAATTTTGGCTTAAAAATTGCATCACATTCCATGTATACACAGTGCATCTGAAAAGTAAAGGTAAAAAGGTAAAACTGTCCCTATACTTAATTCGTCACCACGCCATAAAGAGGTATGGAGGTGTAGAGGTTAGCTCTGTATGGAGGTGAGTGGTCAGCTTCATGCTTCTGCCACTCTATCCCTGGGGAAAGACACCGAAGTGCCATCGGACAGGAGGCTTGGTGGGCCCCAAAGCCAGTCTGGACACTGTGAAGAAAACAAAAATATCTAGCCCTGCCAAGAATCAAACTCCAGCAATCCAACTTGTACCGTCACTATACCACATGACCGCATGGGACAAAATCCACCCCCCTCCAAAGTTAAATCAAAATGAGCAGGACTGACTAAGTGTTCTTGTTTGTGTTTGAAAGAGGGAGAACCAACATTTCACATGAACATATACACCCATACCTAGCTCCATTCCTACAAATGTGACAAAATACTTCTCAAATGCGCTGTGTACTTATTTTCAGTGATATTCCACAATAACAGTGTGCATGTAATAGCTGAGCAAAAGACTGAAATGCTTCCTGCACAGTATGTAATAAAACTATGGAGTTGCAGGTTATATTGACATCAATAAGTGTCATCACTGTGCAGATACTACTTCTAGTGATTTCTCACATTCTTTTTCTTCGGGTTCAATTGCCTTACGGAATACTGTCACTGCTACAACCTGACAAAAAGTATCATGGCATACATTCAAGAGGAAAAGTCTTACTTATCAGTAGTTACAACGTAAGTTGGAAAAGTTGGCATGAAACATGTAATGAGTTCCAGAGGCCCCATTATACAATATATATACACAGTGTCCCAGGAGGAATGGACCAAACTTCGGGAGGGTGTTCCTTATGTTAAAGTATGCCGATATAACCCAAAACACCTATGTCCAAAGTTGAACGGTTACGGAGATAATGGCCCGAGAAATGTGTGGTCTTCTTGCAGGTCCACGCACTGTGGACAGTCAGCTGTGACTGTTATCTGTTTGTACTTGAGTGTGGTGATGTCACACTAGCCGTGATCTCATGCGCAACCTACCAGAACCTACAGATTACGTTGCGGCGGGGTCGTGAATAGGTGGTAAATTAGTTGTGTGATGAGTTGCTGAAATGCCTCTTGTGTTTTCACACGTGGAATATTGTGATATGCATTTTGTGTGTGGATTTTGCGGTCGCAATGCACGTGCTGCTGTTGAAGAATACCAAAGGCGTTTTCCCGATCGAAGGATTCCATCTCGAAGTGTATTTACGCGAATTCACCAGACATTGCGTGATACTGGTTCTCTTGCAAGTGTTTCTGTGCACTCTGAAAGGCAGGATGTACGAATGATAGACACACGAGAGCACATTCTTGATATTGTTCAGTGAAGTCCGCGTCTGTCACTCGTAGAATCGCCCCTCGCATCGGCGTATCACGTATTCAGGTGTGGCAAACTTTACATCATGAAGAGTTATTCTTACCATGATCAAATGGTACAACATCTGGAACCAGGCGACCATGCACAGCGTATGGATTTGTGCCACTGGATAAAAAGCTCATCCCGAACTGTTAAGCGTCATTTTATTCAGTGATGAGGCGTCTTTTACCCTGGATGGTGTAAATAATTTACGAAATGTGCATACGTGGTTCCATAATAATCCACATGAGATAATGGAAACGAAATTCCAAAAGAGATTTCCTGTGAATGTACGTTTACAGTTATGTGGTCGGGTTATAGCGCAGCCATATTACGTCATCGCTCGCCAGTCATGTGTCATGTATAGTGCTTGGAAACCCTAAGGACAATTATGACATGGCGAGCGAGTATTTCGTACTTCAATTTTATGGCTTTCCGTCACTCACAAGTTAGTTTGATGTTACGTACATTATTAACATTACAGAATCCACATATTCCTGCCAGTTTTAATATGTATTTTGTAATCAACAAGTGTGTAACACCGGTCAAAGTTTGACAGTTCTCTGGCCATTATCTCCGTAACCATTCAACTTTGGACATAGGTGTTTTGGGTTATATCGGCATACTTTAACATAAGGAACACCCTCCCGAAGTTTGGTCCATTCCTCCTGGGCCACCCTGTATACTGTTCTAAAATACAACTTTATAAAATTTCACAAAACATATCCATCATACAAACTGTATGCTTCTGTTTCATGTACTGTATGTATATGCAGAGTGAAAGGAACTCAACCACGTAAAAGAAATAATTAAAATTATTCACAAACTTCAACAAAAGAAGCAGAATCCAAAGAAAAGATAGAGCTGCTGCTGCTGATGATGATGACTTTTTGAAATATTTTACATTCACGTATTTAATGAAATACAAGAAAAATTAATCTGTACCAACCAGTAGATTACAGTTTCTAATGGTTCAGTTAGGCCGCGCCATAGCTCAAGCGGTTAGTCGCTGGCTTCCCATCGTGACAGCCCAGGTTCAATCCCGGGTCTGGTCAAGTGGGATTTGTGGAGGACAAAGTGGCGCTGGGGCAGGTTTTCTCCGAGTACTTCGGTTTCCCCTGCCAATCTTCATTCCACCGACTGTTCCACAGTCACCCTCACATATCATCTGATGCTGGTACAATAGGCCAGATGTGGTCACAGTACAAGGGACTTAGTCCCACCCCATTAGCAATAAAAAAAATGGTTCGGTTAAAACCCAAATTAAATTTGGGTAATAATTATTAGTACTGAACTCCCATGGTAAAGGTAAAGCTATTCCAGGGCATCATTAATTATGCACTATGCCATTGATATATGGGAGAATGCAGGTATGGATCCACCATTCTTAACCTCTGCATTACACGGATGTGTTCAGCTTCACGGCCCCTGCCACTTTACCCTCAGGGAGCCAGCCCTCCATACCCAATGTACAGGAGGCTGCCTGGGCTCCAGTGCTGGTCTAAACATTATGAAAAACAGAAGAATCCATTCTCCCTGCTGGGAAATGAACCCTGATTGCTCAAGACATTCCTTTTTGGCCCAGTCTGTGGCTCTTTTCAATTCATTCCTCAGTCTCCTGTATTTCCTCCTGCCTTCTTCATTGTTGACATTCTTCCATTTCCTTCCCTCCTCCATTTTACTCATCATCTCCTGTGTAACCCATGGTTTTCTTGCTATCTTCTCAAATTTACCAAGCAAATCACTGATAGTATCTAACATGCACTCTTTTATATTGTTCCACTGCACTTCAGCATTTCCGCTTTCACCTTCAATTGCACCGAGTTTCTCTTCTAGGGTCTCCTGCACACTTTGTCTTTGAGCATATAACTTCTCCAAATCCCATCTGGGTCTGCACTTTTGAAATCTTATAATTTTCTTCAACCTGGTTCGGAACTTGGCAACCAGTAAGTTGTGGTCAGAGTCAATATCTGCCCCAGGCAGGTTCTTCACATCCTTCACACTGTTTCTGAATCGATGTTTCACAAGGATGTAGTCCAGCTGATGCCTCCTCCAATCCCCAGGTGCCTTCCATGTGTAAATTCTTCTCTTTGGCTTCTTGAACCAAGTGTTGGTGACAATCAGACCATTTCGTTCACAAAAGTCAATAAGCATTTGACCCCTGTGATTCCGTCTTCCTAGTCCATGTGATCCAACAATATTCTGATATGGTTCATCTCCAACAATGCTATTCCAGTCTCCCAATATGATGCTGTTTGTGTC